CATCTCCTAGGCAGACACATGTAACCCTTGGTTAGTCGTTAACATCTCCTAGGCAGACACATGTAACCCTTGGTTAGTCGTTAACATCTCCTAGGCAGACACATGTAACCCTTGGTTAGTCGTTAACATCTCCTAGGCAGACACATGTAACCCTTGGTTAGTCGTTAACATCTCCTAGGCAGACACATGTAACCCTTGGTTAGTCGTTAACATCTCCTAGGCAGACACATGTAACCCTTGGTTAGTCGTTAACATCTCCTAGGCAGACACATGTAACCCTTGGTTAGTCGTTAACATCTCCTAGGCAGACACATGTAACCCTTGGTTAGTCGTTAACATCTCCTAGGCAGACACATGTAACCCTTGGTTAGTCGTTAACATCTCCTAGGCAGACACATGTAACCCTTGGTTAGTCGTTAACATCTCCTAGGCAGACACATGTAACCCTTGGTTAGTCGTTAACATCTCCTAGGCAGACACATGTAACCCTTGGTTAGTCGTTAACATCTCCTAGGCAGACACATGTAACCCTTGGTTAGTCGTTAACATCTCCTAGGCAGACACATGTAACCCTTGGTTAGTCGTTAACATCTCCTAGGCAGACACATGTAACCCTTGGTTAGTCGTTAACATCTCCTAGGCAGACACATGTAACCCTTGGTTAGTCGTTAACATCTCCTAGGCAGACACATGTAACCCTTGGTTAGTCGTTAACATCTCCTAGGCAGACACATGTAACCCTTGGTTAGTCGTTAACATCTCCTAGGCAGACACATGTAACCCTTGGTTAGTCGTTAACATCTCCTAGGCAGACACATGTAACCCTTGGTTAGTCGTTAACATCTCCTAGGCAGACACATGTAACCCTTGGTTGGTGGTTAACATCTCCCAGGCAGACACATGTAACCCTTGGTTGGTCGTTACAATCTCCTAGGCAGACACATGTACCCCTTGGTTAGTCGTTAACATCTCCAAGGCAGACACATGAAACCCTTGGTTGGTCGTTACCATCTCCTAGGCAGCCACATGTTACCCTTGGTTAGTCGTTAACATCTCCAAGGCAGACACATGTAACCCTTGGTTAGTCGCTAACATCTCCTAGGCAGACACATGTACCCCTTGGTTAGTCGTTAACATCTCCTAGGCAGACGCATGTAACCCTTGGTTAGTCGTTACCATCTCCTAGGCAGCCACATGTTACCCTTGGTTAGTCGTTAACAAGTCAACAGCACGCATCTTTCCAAAATGTCCTGATATAGACTCTGGATTAGCAAATCAATTACGACATATAAATAACATACACAGATTAGACTGGGATGTCTAAAACTGGAAACTCAATGCCGATAGCTGTTCTCAAAATAACATAAACGCACAAATTTGCATTATTCGACTTGCATAACATTTTGTTTGCTATTGTAGGTATCCGGGACTAAACATATACGTCCAATGATCAGCTTTATTGCAAATAATATATATTTTTATATAAAATGTTGATTAAATATTTACATAACATGCTTACATTATCCGGAATTGCTAACTTATCACAAGACGTAACCGCATCACAAAACATTATGATTTTTTTAACAGTTTCATTCTTTTTAGATTACGTTCCTATCACAAATATACTTCGACCTTTTCGTAAATCTACCATAGTTAATAGAAATATTTGTTTGATGAAAATTACATGATTTACTTCCATGCTATCATATATGGTCTCTTAATAACTTCTCAGTGAACCATTGTATTGGGGAAATGTGGTCTCCTTACACTTGGTGGCTCTTAATAGATAGTTGAATGAGCCAGTTTAACTACGGTCTTAGTACATCAGAAACTAGTAGTATAATCTAAGAATACTGTCTGGCCATTGTTGATGTTCAAATGTTGATCCTGACAACAGCGGTATAACGTCAATTATTGAAATAATCGATGACTTACCAAATCATTGATCCTTTGTCCACCTTGAACGTATGCCGTTCTTACGTTACACTAGATATAGCAATACTTTTTAACATGAAATACGGTCACAGTTACCCACTATCGACGTCCACCACTACGTCGTCGAACGTCCTTGTTAGCAGACTTATATAACTCCTTCATACGTATTAAGATTCTGACCACGGATAAAGCCTTGGTGAAATATATCAAAGATAGGAGTATGTTAATCAGATATTATCCGTACGCATACACAAACGTGATGTGTCATGTTGAAGAAGTCTGACATACTAAACAGACCTTACAATCACTACGATAACAATAAAAAGGTTGATAAACACTGACACTGTGTCGTCGGTCGACAGCGATGTATTGTACATGTTTACTGCTCACTGAAATGCCCGGATATTTCGCTATTTCGGTCGTATCTATTGTTGTTGCCGGAACGGCTTTCCCAAGAGATAAAACTGACCACACTGGGTGTTGACTTCAGGTCATGTCATAGTCACCGACGTTGACTTTCGTATTTTTAGATTTTTAGGGTGTCATTTGGCTAAACAGCCGTTTAAGTTACCGTCCACTGCCCCTACCTATAATAAACCTAGATTGTCGTATTCTTAAAGCAAGATAAAATATAGGCCGTTGTCTTGAACGAGAGGTAATGTTACAGTTATACATATACTAAGCTAATATCCCGGATCGTCTCCACCGGTATCTGATAAGGTATCTATACGCTCTTTTCTCAGTCATGGATCTCGTAACGGTGACTGATGGCGAAGGAAATACGCTACAATACAAGAGGTACCAGGGTCATGTTTTCCCGAAACTGCTCAGGGGAAATGTACGCGATCAGCTGACTCAAGTAGCCAATCTCCAATGTCGACCAGACGATGTTTTACTTTGTACATACCCGAAAACAGGTACATTTGAAGCATAACATCATTGTAAATTGTATTTGGAGCCATTATGTTGTATATGATAACATCGCCAATCAGACTTGATTGAATAGTGACAATGATTCCTGTGGTTCAGATGAATACTCATGGTGAAATATCTCGACAAATTGTAACATATCTACTGATTCAGAATAGAATACACTGGGCCTATTACTATATCAGATCACGATCACGTGACAAGTGTCACTGGTGTACACACTGCTTTATATAGGACAGGACCTATACGAAATGGTCATTTTAGTCGGGGATTGTTAGCACATTTGTTTCTGCAAGCATCGGAAGAAGCATGATTGTCTAATACCCAGACGAAATTATTCTCGCTTTAGTAATCAGTTTATACTTCAAACGTCAGCTATTGTTCTCAGCCGAAATTCCTTTTTCTCGGCCAATTTCGATCGATTCAGGGTACAGCGATTGTCACTAAAGAGGCTCCCAAATAAGCATCGTTAGTTTGGATACCTAGATGAAACTCTTTATTCTAGGATAGAAACAATTTTTGGGGGAAACGTTAAAAGTTTGAGAAGGATTTAGATGAAATACGAAACCTATAATAACTTACATCCTTGTACGATGGAATGAAGTTTACGGAAGAGCAGGAGGGCCATGTAAAAAAATAAAAATAAATCGTGATAATAACTCCAAATTTCGACTTACTAACTCGAAATTTCAAAATAATAATTCGAAATTGTGACTTACTAACTCGACATTTCGACTTACTAACTCGAAATTTCAAAATAATAACTCAACATTTCGACTTAATAACTTGAAATTTTGAGATAATAATAACTGTTAAAACCAGAATCTGTTCAATCTAGATCTTTGTGTAAACCGGCAAACGTATTTGGTCTTTCATTCTATAAATTTATTGATTAAACTTCGAACTCATTCTGTAAACCGGCCCTGTTTCCTGGTCTAATACCTTCTTAACATTAATAAATATGCTATATGTGAACTTCTATTCTAGTTCAATCCTTATTACCAGACAGGAAAGTTAAGAGTTGACCAGTCATTTTCAACTCTCCCGGTTGTCATAATACATTATTTTAATAAACATTTTTCTGCTCATATGGATGGCGATAATTCAGATGATAAACGAATATTTCTTATGAATATTATCTTTTTCTTTTATAAGTTTTCTTAGTGAAAGTTGAAAATTAACAGAACTAGAGCAGAACGTGATGTAGATTAACGGAAAGCATGTTAAATACTGTATAGAGAGTATTAGACCGGGGAACAAAGCTGATTTACTAATTCCGGAGTTTAATCAATGATGTAAAATAATTTAAGACCAAATAATTTGGCAAGTTTACACAAATATCCGGATTGTACGGAAGAGCATTAGATCCGGATCGAGCAGAATCTGGTTTAAATAAAATCCAAAGTACATCAAACGGTGTTAAATTATTAAGCTTTAATACATTTTAAAATGCCTAAGATTGCACCAAAGCGCTTCTAGATTTCAATCAATGATCACTTGACCCTTCAAGAGGGGCTTTGCGCTTTGATTAGGCGAAACCAGTATATCTGTATTGACCATGCATGTTCATAATAAAGAAAACAATTCAAAATGAAATATTCATTTATTTGTATTCCTACAGCTTCGGGAGGTATCGCCCCACTACATGAAAATCCTTTTCTTGAAATTTCGAGTTATTATCTTGAAATTTCGAGTTAGTAAGTCCGAATTTGGAGTTAGCAAGTCGACATTTCGATTGATTATCTTAAAACTTCGAGTTAGTAAGGCGAAAAAACGAAAAAAAATAATCTTCATGGCCCTAATGCTCTTCCGTAGAAGTTGAATGCATTTTCCTTAGATTTAATTAAGATTACAAAATTATCTGTATGGTACGGCTACAGACGTACATAATGATCTATCTTTGAGTTTTACCATTGTAACACCGAAGTATATACCCTTATTAATCATACATCAAAGATAACCATTATTTTATCTGAAACATAAGTTCAGGGTTTACGACTTGGACAGCTAGAACAATACCTTAAAGCTTCACGTTGTCCTACTGAGTTATAAAACATGCTCTACGGAAAGTATTGAAAAAGGACACTTTACATACGTTCATACAAACAGAAAATACTAACACAATTATGTATGTTTCTACTGCTGATCCATGGAATTTCACTATGTACCCTGTGATGAACAAATATTAGGAACTGAAGCAAGTTAGTTGTCGTATGAAAAACATGTTTGATATATATACTATCTTACGTAGTACACGTCAACTTAAACATTGGAAACGAATGTTGAAATATTCTTTTGGTTGTCTAGAAGGATTCAAGTGTTGGATACTTTGGTGTGGCACATATCTTAGAAATAGGTCAGAACGGCTCAAAATTAGACTGTGAAGGCATATATGATTTTTAAATTAAAAAAACGTAATTCATGCTATGTTATAATTTGACTATCAATAATACCTGTCGAATGATCGTACATCTTAATCGGGCGAGATTTACTCCATAGCATGGGAACCTAGTGAGCTATTGTTTATACATACTACAATAAGAAACTGTATACCATCTCACGTTGTATACCATGCTTCCCTAGACGTATACATACATACTGTGCCGGTTTTCTCTGCAGGGTTACACTGGACGTACAACATCGTTCAAATGTTGATATCAGGATCAACTACATATGAGGGCAGTCCGAAATACCTGGAGTTCGACGATATAGGTATGATTGACATGATGCCGCCTCGGCGGGTGTACGCCACGCATTTTGAGGTGTGTCACCTACCTGACGCCATCAAGAATGGAACGGGAAAGGTTATCAATATCATCCGCAACCCGAAGGATGTGGCTGTATCCTACTTCTGTTTCCTGACGTCTCTTAACATTCCTGTTTACTCCGGGAGCTTCAGTGGATTTCTGCAGTATTTCCTGAAAGAAGACTGTAAGTTCGAAACAAATCATATCATATTCATTTTATCGTGTATTTCATGGATTTTCTTATTTACTTACTTACATATTACAATATAAAAAGGTTGTTAATAAGATTCTGTTAAGATAACTGGAAAGTATTACATTCAAATTAATATTATTTCCTAGATGATTATATTATTAAGAACCACATTTCAAAATGGAAAGTCATTATTGTCCTTAATGTTTCTAAGGACAAGTAATGGAGGGTTATTATGTTGTATACATACCTAAAAGAACACGTAATGAAGGGTTATTATTTTGTATACCTACCTAAAAGATCAAGTAATGCATTTAAAATGACTCTTTGTTCTATTTGTCTGACAGTTTTGTTTGGTAATTGGTTCGGTGCTCTTAAGCAATGGTTGGATATCCAAACAATGTATCCATGCATGCAGACGCTCACCCTTCATTACGAGGATCTAAAAAGAGCGAGTATACAAATCTAGCATCACAGTTGTTTACCCTAGCATCATCCCAGCAGTTCTCACCTCTCACAGTGTTATACTGGTTTTATTTCGTACCACCCCGAACACAGTTTCCATCGCTTACAATGAGCCATATGTTATCCTTACATCAATCAGTCCGTTACTTATAACCGCTTACATTATAACAAAGGTTTATAGCTTACCACCACTTGCAACACAACAACGATTTTCCTCGCTTCAATCTAACATTCACAACCACTTATAATATATTAATGGTTTATTCTCCAGTTATGTAAGAATATATATCCGCTTACAGTAGCTTACAGTATTAATAATGGACAGAATTCACGATAAAGTGTTCAAAGACAATTAATAAAATGTCAAAATAAATTGACAAAATGTTTGTTTATCAGTATACTGATTAATCAAACATTAATTGTATAGGGACTTTTAGTTTAATGTTGATTATAATAGAAAAAAAAATGTTGATAGTGGGATTATTAAAGTATTTGATATTTTTTAATAGATGAACTAGAATTCCTTGGCTGTTAAATAAAGACATTTTTCTATTGTTTCAGAATACTTTACAAAATCTCTACACATTGGCGGATTTCCTTGAAGTTCCCAAAAATGATGATTTTCTACGACAAATAGAACTGAGTGTGGAATTTTCAAAAATGAAGATAAATCACGAACAAGAATTGATGGGATCCGAGACATTTAAGGACATCGCAACACATGGAGTTCTCCCCATCTATCGAAAGGGTTGGTAATGTTAAATAATTTATGTCTTAAAATCGCTGTACGCTTATATTAGAGACACTCAATTAAAACTTAATAGAGAAAGTCGAATGAGCAAGTTTAACTATGATATTAGTAGATCAGAAACTATTACTATAATCTAAGAATACTATATGGCCATTGTTGATGTTCAAATGTTGATCCTAAAAAATATCTCTCTATATATATTTAACATAATTCCATGCTTTTCCTTATCCGCCGTTGTAGTTCAGTATAAATAATTAATATTACAGGTCTGCTTGGTGTGTTATTAAATTATATAACCACAAGTAAATAAAATAATGTATTTGTCGTTATATCGTAATGCATCTGGAGATATTGATATGTGCTCTTAACTTATAAACATTAATGAATATGATAATATTCTTTTCCGTCTTCAGGAGACGTTGGAGACTGGAAAAATTGGTTCACACTGGCACAAAGCGAGGAGTTTGATCGCGTCTACAAACAAAGAATGGAGGGATACGACATAGATTTCATTTACGAATGAAAACTACACTTCGTTTTGCTTAATCTGAAAATCTGTAAAATATTATGAAACCAATTCTACTTTGGAGGCATCGGCGCTTACGGAATCATAATGTAATCAAGTATTTGTAACCACAATAAAAACATAAAACATTATTTAAGATAATAAAGAGGATATTGCAAGCATCGTGTTGTAACCGAACACAACTGAATGAGGAAAGAAGGACAACTCACGTAGATCTTGTCCATATTGCAGGCTTTTGTAATATCATTTCCTGGAAAGCAAAATAACGACAGAATCAATTATCAATGATTGATTTTAATCTTTTGAGTCATATTTAGGCCTATTTTAGGTTTATTATAATTATCATAACGTCCTCGATACCTATCCCGTAGGTATTTAATACTCGTCTGTTACGCTTCGGTTTATAGTGTGGAGCGTCATCTCAAACAACACAATATTGCTGTTAAAACCAACTGGTTAGTAAGTTACCATTGACAACGGTTTTCAAAGTACATATTCTTGTAAATGTCAACAGTTAAGGAAAACTCTTTGGAATGGATGTCCGAGCAGCGTACGGGATATATTGACAGATTAAATGATCCACTGCCTGAAGACGTGAACTCGAAATAATCACATAAACTTAATAAATGGGAAATTCAACGATACGAAAATCAACTCAGTAAACTTCACAATAGTGTATTAAGATAAGATTGAAACGAAATTCATTAAAACTGTCCGGGACAAACTCATTTTTTAACACCTGTAAGCTCCAACTATTTAAACCAGGAACCCAGTCTCTTGGACCCCATACTCACAACAATGCCAAATAAAACACAAAAAATACAACATGAATATCTAGGCTGGATAAAGGTGTTTTTTACGCAGGCAAGTCATTGTTAATGGTTACATCTCAGGAATAAAATCTCCACAGGGAAGCGTCCTGGGTCCATCGCTGTGTGTTTTGTATATGAATACCCTACCCAGATGTCTTTTGTTGAACGCCTTGCTGTTTGCTTATGCCACCAAATTAAATAAAGACACCAGGGAAATTGGAGATACCCAGCAGGATCCAGCAAATCTACAACATTGATATATAGTCGTATGTTTGGTTTATATAAAGGCTCGTCGTAGGCAGCCAAAGTGTATTAAGGTCAAGTGTTATTTCCACCGGCAACAGGATGTCCATACATTACATTGACGAATGGATCAGAAACACATACGTATATCATACACAGCGGGTCTACGATATCAGACAGATTCGTCGTGTTAAGTGCAGAAATGTGAATGTCATCTTACGAGAGTTAAATGATTCAATATCCGAATTGGTTTTTATTGTGTATTGATTATGTATTCTAATGTTTCTTTATTTTCTTTAAGAATATGTACGAAAATACATGTTTCTAGGTGTGGTTCTACCGTGTTTAAATATTTGTGTCGTTAAATTGTGACTATACTGGCACAAGGTGATATTAACCGCTAACGCGGTGCAAGTAAAATGATTATTTGCGGCAGTATGATCACGATATACCGACCTAATCTTCGCATTACAGTAGATGTTTTTCCTTCTCTTAGTCATTTTAATTTACAAAAAAAAATTATTTGTAAGTTTTCAATAAAGGGAGGTGTATTCCTCGAACCAAATGAACGTCATTTTCGATAACTTGTCCATGTTATATTAATTTTGTTAAACTCGTTCAATAATTAGATTTATTATATACATGAACATTTCTCGCAATCACATTGGTCGGATCCTATACACGTGACCAGTCCTCAAAAACTCATGTACATGTAGACTGGTTATCCGGTGAATATCGATGCCTAAATATAGCCTGTATGGAAAATCCCCGGAACCTGTCGTAGCGCATGCGCAGTTAGACTGGAACGCGATCTGTCAGACGACATTATAAGATGGCTGCTGGCGAACGTTTCTCCTCCGTTAGGAAAATTTCCAAAACCATTCGAGGATAAAGATGCTGTTAACGTAAAAAAAGGCCATTGAACACGCAGCGCATGGCCTACATGCTTATCTTGAGAAAAAAGAATCTAGACGAAGCCTTCGAAAGCTACAATGATGAACTGTTGTATTCAAACCTGGCTAAATTTTACACGGAGGCTCATGTACAAAAATCAGAACTTTAGTTTTGTTTTGATTTATTTTATTGTTGAAGCATAGAATAAAACAGTTATGGGCTTTTGTGCTGGTAAATATGATGTGATATGAACCTGAAAGAGTGATATTGACCTCGGCTTCGCCTCAGCAATATCACTCTCTCAGGTTCATATCACATCATATTCACCAGCACAATAGTCCATAATTGTATAATGACACTCGCCGAAAGGCTCGTGCCATATGAAATTATTGAACTCCTTTAATAAATTCAAAATGACATGGACACTCAAGTAAGTTCCTCTATATATGGTATAAAGTTAATCAAATGTGTAGATACGGTACATTGTATGCCCTTATTTGGGTATATAGATACAGTATGACATTATTTAAATTCATAGGTATAGTATGACACTATATCTACATTACAGTGTCTTGTAATTCGGTGTCAGAACAAGTCGGGCCAATAAGACATTGTTGTTCTATTAACAATAACAACCAGGATAACATATCATCATGTTTTATTAACTTCTCGCTCAAAACAAACGGATGGTCTGCTATATTTACATATACAGTTTATTGTGAACAATAGAAGTAGATTTGGTTCAACCACTTGGTGTATTGTTCGTGTACCCGTTACACATTCGGATGATGTCAGCTGCTCTGTGGGGATGTAGCTGTGACTTAACATTTTACGTGAGTAATAAAAACTACAATTTCTGAAACACTGATAAATGTATAGCTGTCTGTGTCTTACTTAACCCTGAGTGTCGCATACATTAGTGGTATAAATACATTATGTATTGACCTGCTGCATGGGTATCTATGAATATGCGACACGACTAAATTAAACATTGAAAATCTTGAAGTGTACACATTGCCTATAAAATTATGTTTTATGACATTTAAAAAAAAATATCAATGGGACTTTTCTATAGACTATTTCTCATCGTTACAATTCTGCATAAAAATCCTTTTTTACGCAAAACCTATAAGCTTACAGAATTCACCATTCTTAATCCTATTTGAAAAGGATGTCCAAAATCATATTCATCAAGATACAAATGTATGTTCTTCGAGAAATATTTTCCATTCATTTTAGAGCTAGAATAGTGCAAGGGCCAAACAAATTAATTTATATATTGTTTTCTCGTATCCAAACCTAAATAAAATGCATGTACAATTACTGAATAGATATTTACTAATATGTTTTGTTTTCTGATGGTTTTTTTTTTTTTTTTTAATTACTTTGGTCTTGTCTTTTATTGAATGTTCATATAACAGGTAATTTTTTAATAATCTTTATATAATATTAGTATTCCTTTATAATTGCTATAACTAATACGGTCGTGACTAAAAGGAGATATCATATCTATATCGTAAGATTCAATTATTCGTAAAAATAAACTTAGAAAGTTTCTAAAAGGATCAGGCATTGCTAGTGCCATTGTATTTCTGATTATTTAATAATGTTTTCCTTGATTCTGATTTGAATTACCAACGTTCATTCGAACCTTACTGTTTTTGACATTTTAAGACGACAAAAACATTCTTAGGTTACGTCTAAGCCAGAGGTCTCGTCGTCAATATTTGATGTGTCCGGACATGAATCACTCCCAAACAGTATATCAAAAAGATCCGCTTCGTTGATTTCTCCACAAGATGGTGGTACCTTTACACTGAGAAAAGCAAGCCTGTTGTGTGCATGCACCATAAATTCATTCATGTCGAGTAGAGTAGCCAAATCGTGCGCAGTTTCAGCACATTCAAACGCCTTATTTATATTTCCAACCCGGAAATGATAGTCACAGTTTGCAATGTGGTAGTGCATACTCAAAACTCTCCTGGATGTTACATCAGTCCCGGAAACATGAAGCAAGTACTTACCAGCCATGTCTACAACGGTTGGATCTGGCTGTAAAATGTCCATGGTAAGACCATTCTCTCCACATTGTAGAAGTAAGATGATGAGGCGACACATTGTATACACAAATCCAACAGGCCCATATTCACTTTTGTCTTCTTGAAAATTGGCAAGCGCTTTTTCAAAACTGGCCTTTGCTCTGTCATGCAGATAGCCATGAGCTCCGATAAAATTTACTCGCGTTGGATTGAGTAGATCAATCTGAGCTGCCATCAAGCGCCCTTCCTGTACGTGAAGCCAGCCGGCAGCCCGTCCACTAGACGCAACTACATCTGTCTCTATTATCATTTTTGCAGCATCCACAACATCTTGCAGGGTTTCAAACTTCTTTTGATACAGAAGCATTCGTGCCTTTGTACCTAGGAGCTCGAGCGTAAAGTATCGTGTATTAGTTGTTTTACCACAGATCGTAAGGGCTGACTCGATATGCTTTTTTGCACCGTCAAAGTTTGATTTATGCAGCTCCAAATTGGCTTGCAAATATCCTAAAACACATTTCATATCGAAGTCTGTTCTATATCGACGGCGAAGTCGAGTTGTCAACCCGTTAAACTGGTCAAATAACCCTCTGTTCATCATAGAAACCAATGTGTTAAAAGCAACATCTAAACGTTTATTTGGAAGAGTATCTGGTTTTGATGCCCCTGGTGACATCAGAAATGGAACAATTTCCGTTGTACCAGAGACAGTCACAAGTTGGCCTTCCTCTGGAGTAATATCACGCCTTGTCCTCTTTGTGGATGGACAGTTGTCAATTTTTACTTCATATGCGTTTGTACAATTCACAAGTTTGGTGTGTTTTTGCTTTGTACAATTTACATCACGGTCCTCTTCCAACTTAAGTGTTTGAGAGAAATAATCTTCTCTCTGTTTCAATTGTGATGTAGATGAATCAGTGTTAACGTAGTATTTTTTGTATCGTGTACAAGGGTCTGTTTGGTTTAGTACAGTTGACCTTTCTATAGACGACTCATTTATCCTACAGCGTGGCGTTATACTGATAGGCACTGAATCTGTTTCGGTACATGATTTCGCACTAACAAATGGTTGTTGAATCCTTTCAACAATATATTGATATTTCTTTTGCAAAGACGCTTTCAGCAATATAATAAGCTTGTCTTTTCTACTTTTGGACAATTCCTTTAGATATAAAGCACATCTGTCTTTTCGAGTTTCTCCTGTCTTTATTCGGTCGCATTCGTCTTCACTGAATATGTCCTCTTGGTAACTATAAGGTAAAAGGTCTTTTGGTTCAACATTTTGTAAAATGAGACAGCAATGTCGCTTCAAGATATCTTCAATATCTGGATTCAGAAAGCTGACAGGAAAATAAGGTGAACACTCTTCACATGCGTCATTTGAATTAGATGTGTTTTCACCATTTTTTCCACAAGGAACAGAGTCAGTTGCTGTTACGTCTGGAATGATAAGGTCTGCAATATGACTATACTTCGAGCACCGAATAGCACCAAGGAATGACTCAAAGGCAAGAGGACCTCTCTTCGTCAGAACAGAAATCAAGTTCTCACATCTCTCCTTTCGTGTTTTGTTTGAATTTGTCACACGTTCACAATCATTGTCTGTTAGTATTCCATCCTGGTATAAATCGTCCACAACATCTTTAGGTTCGAGATCATTAACAATTTGTACATAGTTTCGTTTGAGTTTAGCCTTGTGAATAGGGTCCATGGTATGAAGTAGGTGTTTTCTGTAATAAAAACAAAAAGTAATAATATATATTTATACATCATTTGTTAGTCATTCAATAATAGTTATGTTTTAATTTTATTTCTTAATTCATGTATCTCTGTTGATTCTTAATGAACACGACTACGTTGGGACAACACCTTAGCTAAGATATACCACATGCAGTTTCATTTTAATTGTAAATCTCAAATTTTGTTTGAGATTCCTTCTGAACGTCATATTCCTTACCGCATTTAAGCGCGGTTACCGAGTTGTACTGAACACACACATACATATGGAATAAAAATCAAATTGAAAACCTGTGTTTAGTTATTTGAAAATCATACTGTATCAATAATAATGCAGTAGGTGAACCTCTTTAGACAGAGCTTTAATCATTTAAGACTCTGCGAGTAACGTAATATAGTTGTGAAAAACGAGATAATCGATAGGATAACATTTCAATACGTTATGTGACTACGTGTGATGGTCACACATATCTTGTGGACTACTATTATAGTTCTCTTTCCTAGCAGTAACAACTGTACAATAGTGTTAGTTTGTCGATACAAACGTTACTTCTGTAATATAATCATGAATCATGAATCAAGTATACAGCTGTACACGTATGAATCATTACCGCGCCCCCACACCTACACACACTGTGCGTGTCCTCAGCCAGTATGTGAACAGTGGCTGGTTACTGCTTGAGATAGTCTACTTAACAATTGTCCGTAGTATTATGTTAGTTGTCGGTCAGTATACAGTAGTAACATGTCCTTCAAACCATCAAACGTCAGTGTTATACATGGTAGTCATCATAAAGCTGAATTTGTTGATGAAATTAAATCGATAAAATTCACAGTCGATCAAAACACATTGAGTATTACGTCATTCAGAGAACAGTACATTGAACACTGCAGAAAAAAGATAACTTACCAGTAGAGTCAAATATGATGTTGCTTCAGTGATTCTGCTATACAGAAATTACGCCATTACTTATGTTATTCTCGCGACTTTTCTAAATTACTTCATCAAGGTTAGAGTACAATGCCAACCCTCCATCACGTGTACACACATGTATTTTGCGGTATGTGTTTGTTACATTGACGATGGAGCAGCTATGTGTGTATAGTTGTATGTTGGACTACGCTACAAGCCCGAGCGTGTCCGCCTACTACCTAACATTACATTACTGATTATCGCTAAGACCACTATCATTTTGAGCAACTTTCATAAACGTGTTAGAATTACATTTGATAATCATATACCAGGAGTCGTTGAAATAAAGGTTTTGATATTATGTATGTATCAATACTATTGTAAGATTTGAAAAACAGAACACTATATATGTGAGCTATGATAATGGAAACATTTAGATACTGGGAGAATTATACTCTTCCCTCTAACACATGTGTGACGTCTGTAGAATTGACAAATAGGTTCTAACATGCCTTTATAAGGTGTATCAAAGGGGGCGTTTCTGATGTTTTTGTTTGTTTTATCATATGCTTATATGCTTTTCAGATGTGCAGAATACGTAGTCGTGGTTTGTATAAAGAGTTTTCATTGTGGTGTAAGGTGTTTAAGTCATTCAAAAAGTCCAGTATATGGACAGTTATTAAACAGACTGGAATTTAGTTGTTTATCCCTCTTTTTCTATAATGGTTTATGGGTATATTTTTGTGACATTTTTTATTGTAACTATGGAATAACAGCTACCTTTCAAGTCATTGTTAACCTATCTAAAACTTTACCCTGTATATCTAATACTAATCGAGTGTCATATTCCTGCTTCCTTTGCTTGATTTCATTTGTATGGGAAAACGGGAAACAAGATCTAGCAGGCCATTGTGCTTCTTGCACATGTATGTATAGACACACGTATTGATCTCAGGTATATAAATGTATGTAGCGAGTGAAATGTTCTCACCCAATGCGTGTTTTTGCCTTAATCTGTCAAGGTTCAGACGTATTTTTCAACTTGCATACTATCACGAACATATGTTATACCTTGAGTGATCTTTGTTCACAATGTATTTCGTAACTGCATTTGTTTATGCTCTTCTTGCTTATTTTGACAATATGTGAGTTTAATACGAATTGTATTATGGTTGACGTTTTTAGATAAAGTAGCCTTATATTACTGGAGCTCAAGATTATTTTTTTAATGTCAATGTAATCCGCCATATGGGAAACATTGACTAACGAGGTCTTTGAGAGATTGTATAATGGTTTAATGAAGTTATATAACGGTGTTTTAATGAGGATAATTAATGATAATTTCAGTTTTTCTTATGTTCGTGAGAGGGGGCTGCCCGTCCTAATTTTTGTATGTGATGTGTATTTGTTGATAAAATGACACTGCCCGTCCTCACTTTTGTATGTGGTATGTATTTCTTGATAAAATTACGCTACCCGTCCTAACCGTTGCATATGATATGCATTTGTTGATAAAATGACGCTGCTCGTCCTAACTTTTGTATGTGATGTGTATTTGTTGATAAAATGACGCTGCCCGTCCTCACTTTTGTATGTGGTATGTATATCTTGATAAAATGACGCTACCCATCCTAACCGTTGTATGTGATATGTATTTGTTGATGAAATGACGCTGCCTGTCCTTACTTTTGTATGTGGTATGTATTTTTTGATAAAATGACGCTGGCCGTCCTCACTTTTGTTTGTGATATCTGTTTGTAGATAACATGACGCTGCCCGTCCCAACTTTTGTATATGATATGTATTTGTTGATAAAATCAAGTACAAGAAATACAAAGTAAGGAAATGCTCATCACAAAAGATGCAGATGCAGAAAACGTTTAATATTTCACAACACCGTCTATTTAGGAATCAGCCGTTGTACTTAAGATCAAGCGAATGAAAATACGTAAAAATGTGGAGAAAGGGATATGTGTCTAAAAAGCCCTAATAACGTTACAAATTCGTAACGTTGGTTTTATAACTACCAAATCTGTTCTTTAATTATTGTTTTGTTTTGTTAACTGTGCACGAACAAATTCTAATTATAAGGTTACGGCCAACCTCGTGGGTTGATTGTCCACCGGTAGTCAACAAGCTAGAAATACTGAGTGAGGCAGTATTTGTTTACAATTCAGCCAAAAGTGAACCTGTAACTGCACCATATATAGTCTTTAATGTACATTTGACACTTTAAAGTAGTACAGTATTAGTGGTCTAAAGATTGAAAGTCCAACAAGTCTTTAGTGTCCGGACATATATGTAGAAAAACAGGGAGGGGAAAGGTGATGCCATTCGCCAGTATATTTTGTCAACGAAATTAATAAGATGAGAGTGTTCATGTTGGTTTTCGTAATATATTTGTTTCAATTCAGAGTTCGAAATAATCATAATTACCATCTGTAAGACCAAAATAAAACAATAATCGTCAATCTAAAAATAATTTTGCAATTGAAGTACACATTGTTTATTACCTGATGAACGACTTACATCTGTAAGAGTAGGGCTGCAATGCTACTGTGGACGTATGTATTGACTGTACACGTCTAGGTCAAAGGTAAATAATGTCCTCCCTTTTCTCAAAGTATACCCTTCTTGTAACCATCAATATGTATCTAATGGCCTTGATACGGCTTCTAACCAAAGGAGAAGGGATTTTTAACTGTATCAAAAAAGCAAGAGGTAACCGAAGTGTCAAGAAAACATTAATTCGGACTCAAAATCGATACACCTAGGGCAAAATGTAAACAAAGGGAATATTTACATGAAGACCTCTGGAAACGTACAAGGAGACTAAGATCAGAAATATCGGGAAGGTAAGCGGTTTCTGCTTCCTCGGCGACACCCGCCATGTAAATCTAGGTCTAATCCAAGTAATGTCCTCACATCGAGAACAAGTGACAAATGACAACAAAACGGCAAGGCACTGTAATCAGTATAATAAAAAAACATCGACCTTCATATCACACAAAGATAAAGCATATTTCCCTATGCGATAATAATGGCGACCATAACACTTGTTCATAGTGTTCATCAACCTGAATCTTTATAAACCCTGTGGCGTAAGTTTGTCCGTCAGCATTCGACACCTTACACAAAAATCATGATATTCGGGACAAGCTCACGCATACCGAATCAAATGCGACATGTTTAACACCGTAGGAATAGAAAACAGTGTGTTACTATCAAGAAAGGGAACATTCACGACTAGAAGTCGAATTCGTCCCGCTTATCGCACATGTAAGTAGTTAGTGGTGTTTGTTGGTTATGTTGCAAGTAAACATTGAGGAAAGAAGCTGAAGAAGATGAGTCAATAGTATCATTGAGTTCCAGCTCAGGAAGGTATGTAATATCGATATATGTGGTCAAAAATGGATTATTATTTAAAGACAGCACTTCGTCGATATATCGGAATGTGAAATTTTGTTCCCGCAGGAAAGCCTACAGTCTACTGAAAGGTATTGCCAACATATTAACAAAGATATTATCAACTATAGGAACTCAATTATTCTTCCAACTCATCCAAAAAAGTTCCTTCGTATAATATTTTCTACATATTTGATGTAGCCGTCTTTACTAAATGACAGAAAGTAATGATACCAATGCTTAAAATGCCGAAAGAATCAATCTGAAAAAGATGCTTTGTGTAACTAAGATATTGGGAAAAATACGTGTTATATTCAATGAGATGAAATCCTTTTTTTAAAAAGAGACGATTGGAAGATGCAACAAACTTCATTTGGCTTAACCCAATAAGCTGTACAAGTTTAGAACCGTCACTTGGTATTACTACTTTGATATTGATGTCACTTTAGATGTTTCCCTTATAACGGATATAAATTACTATGAAGGGGAAGTAATTCTGATAAGCTTAGTTACATTTGTTTATCCACACTGAAGACAGAAATTAAATACACTAAAATAAAGGGCCGGTATATGCACATCCGATAATCCTGTGCTTCCGATAATCTTGTGCATCGATATTTGACTTTATTTCAAGTAGCAGCCTGCTCAAGTCCGATGCTTTTATTACTATTTTAAATTAAATTTGTTTTTCCACAATGATGAAGCAAGTTATTTCATTTATCTATAAAATATCATTCTTGTAGGCCCGGATGTTAGTGAATTGGGTCTTATTATTGTTTCTAAAAGGGAGGAGGGGCTAATCGATTTAATCTAATGTGTTTCGGTCCTTGGGTCCCAAAACCAAACTTACATACAGTAAAATGAAATGTCAAATATAACGTATGACATAAGATTAAGGGACGACACAAAGTAACATGGAATATGGGGTAGTAGTAGTAGTTCTCTTTAGCATTTACAGAACGTGAATTCATCACAATCATATTATTAAAACGATATCTCAATAAAGTATACATTTTCGCTATATTGTTTCATTTGTAACATATTTTATATAACCACGGATAATAATTTGTGAACAGCTTTGAGACGACCTACGAACTAGGTTGTGATAAAACGGTATATAAGAACCTCGAATTATAATTATCATTAATTATATTTAATTTCCACGAAAAATGTTTTTCCTGTCTGCGCGTAAGATGACCGGCAAGTTTTGTTTAGTCTACGTAAAATGTGCACTTGTTAACAAAGATAAATGTCATTTCTTGAACAGGTTCCTTGATATATCGATTACAACTTACTTTAATCTCAGACTTAAGCAGGCATATTAAAGGATCAGATATCTACCTGTTCACATTACATTAGACATTTTTTTACAACACGAATACACTTAGTAGTCTAGTTTTAATAGTAAATAATGAGACCAAGGTTTTTCCACACAGTATGTGCGCCGTTGTGATCCGTAAGATACTTTGTTATTTCTAAATGGTTCCACTTTATAGATTTTTGTGGTGGTTTGTAATGAATACAAACATAACATGTCTGGTTATTGGTATTTTAAATAAACTTCCACGAATTATGTTTAAAAATAGATCTATTATCAATGACCGTATTCTTTTTTTTCTCTCATTCGTATCCGTAATCAGTTTAGTACGTTTAGTCAACCAACTGATAACAACACTAGAATAAGTCATAGTTCCATGGAGCTAGATAAACCTCCCACTTAGTATCTATTTAGTTATATCGTCTTTTATCAGCAGGCCTTACACATTAGATGTTTA